TTTATCAGTCTTGGCTCGTTCCAAGATGATCAGCTGCTCAAAATCAGAGATCTGCTTTAAAAGCATTTTCGCGTTCAGTTTGAGAGAGTTATCTTATTTTCATAAGATATGCATTCAGCACCAAACTTTTTCTCTAATTCAATCACTCTCTTCTTCTCTTCATCCATATCTTTCCTTTCAGCATTTAAAACATTCTCAACTTCTAAAACTTTATTCTTCTCTAGTTCCAATAATTTCCTTGACTCAAACAGATCACATTCAGTCTTATGAATTTTATCAGTTAAGTCCTTAGTCTCTTTATTATTCCTCCCAAAAGAGTCAATTTGCTATTCAGATTTATGCAGTTTAGCTGTTAAGTCCTCAATTTGTTTCTTCAATCTTACTTTCTCTTGTGGATCTAAAACAATATTCATCAAATCATTCAACTTTTCTTGCAAAACTCCCTTCTCTTCTTTCTCTCTCTCATTGCAGTTTGTAAGACGAATTGTCCATGATATATTCTTGTTAAGCTCATAATTTAGTTTAACGTATTTTTCTTTAAGCCCCTTATATTCTCTCTTGAAAAAAATTGCCATTTCAAAATAGATTGATCAAAGAATCTAATGCGTTGAAATCAATCAAAGAAATCAAAATCAATTAAGCTAAAAAATCAGAAAAACACAAAAACTATTGAGAAATCAGAAAATCAGCGAAAACAGTCAGAAACTGTTGAAAACAGTTAAAAACGTTTAAAAACAATAAAAACCAGTTAAAACTGATAAGAAACAATTTACGCGACGCAAAACCGTTCAAAATTCTCAAAACAGATAAAATTAGATAAAAACAGATAAAAAGTGATCCAAAATTAAAATCTAAAAAAAAATAAAATCAAAATCCAAAACCAAAACAATTAAACCAAAAAAAAAATTAAGCCCAAGATAAGTCAAGCCCAAACCAAGCTGAAATCGGACACGAGAAGACAACGATTTGATCTTCAAATTACAAGTCCAAATCCGGATGCAAGTAGTTTGACACAGAGATAGGCGAGTTTGGCAGAGGAAGCAAGCAAGTCGCGACTAACTATTATCCGAGAAAATGAACCCGGACACGAGGTTGACCGAGGTATCCGGATAGGCTAGTAGGCGGACTAGGATGGTAGAACCTAAGATCGCGACGAAGACTTTATCCGGGGATCAAATCCGGATAATTCGAGAAGTGAGCGAGAAACTCAAACCGTGACTAAGTCTTTATCAGATTATTGAATCCGGATGAAGTGTCCAAGGATAGGTCTAGTCTGGACAAAAGGGTATCCGGTAAAGTGCACAAGAATTTAAATCACAACCGAGGAACCGAGGAAGCAAAGCTTGGACAAGGCTGGTGAGCAAGGAATCCAAGTCCGGTCAAAATTATTCTCTTGTTTTAAATCCGATTCCCTTTCCTAGACAAAATTCGCCTCTAAAAAAAACTCAAACAGCAACAAGCAGAAACGGAAACTTAAATTGTAAGTCCCTTGAGCAAACAGAAACAGAAACAGAAACAAAAGCTTGAAAACAGAATCCTTGAGCAACCAATTCAAATCTGTGTCTTCTGCTTAATGCTAAACCGGATGGAACAGTGACTGAGTTTACAATCTCTGTTTACACTCTCAACCTTGCTGAGAAAGAATTCTCAATTTCTGTTTACAATCGGACAACTTCAAAACTTGAGCAAGATTGACAGCAATGCTTTCCCAAATGAACCTGCGATATAGACTAAATCTGACAATTCTTCAAAACTGAATATTGTAACAAAGATGGAATCTGTGAAGAAGATGAAATCGGAGGAGCGATGAAACCCAAATTGGCTAACACCCAAATTGAACACAAGCAGGTAAAACCAAACAGTCTGCGATGAAGATTGGAGCGATTTTAGGTTGAAAAGGATGAAAGCCTTTGAGCGATTTGGGAAGCTAATCCGGTTAGGCTGTTGGTCGATGAAGCCTTAAATCGGATGAGCTATTAGGCGATCTAGGCTGTAGAAAAACAACCAAAATTTAGGATGAGCGATTTAAGCGATTAAAACCAAAACCAAGCAACACAGTGTGCGATTTGGTCAAAACAGGTGAGAAACAGGTCAAGAAATGCTGTAAGTTGTTGATTGAACAACAAAGCAGGGTATTTGGTCTCCACCTGTCGTAAATCATCCAATCTACCAAGAATTTGGCCACTAAGAAATGGAATGAACAGCAGCACAAAATCGACACAAAACCTTCAAAACACTAATTGAAGTCCCTTTGACCGTGAAACACTAAACCAGGTGAGCGATTTACCTGTGATGCCCGATTTAATCTTAAACCAGACAAGGGGTGAGCGATTTAGGCTAGAAATCGAACAAACTGTTGTTCAAATCCGGGTGAGACGAGCGATTAAGAAATCCGGATAAATTGAGCGATTTATGAATCCGGGTAAATAATTGAGCGATGTAGAAGCAAATCTTTGATGTGCAACAAGCGGTTTAGTATGAAATTGGATACTGCCATGAGCGATTTAAGAGGAAATCGCTGAAGCTGGTAATCGATTTAGTTGTTTGAACGATGAAGATGAATCCGGATTAGACTTCTGGTTCAATCCGATTAGCCTGCTTTCTAATCCGATTAGGCGATGAAGATGAGATATGGGCTAAACCGGATGGGCCTGTTATGGGCGGGACGATTTAAAAAAAAAAGGGCAAAATGTGCAAAATAGTAACCTACTTTCACAAATTTCCTTATTATAGCATTCTATTTTCAGTTTTTCTTATTACAGCAATGTACTTTTAAAATATTTTTTATTAAGGCATTTAAAAATTTACCCATTATAGCATTGGGTAACCTGTTATCTTTTGAACAGGTTTTTCTTCGTTGACGTGACAAATTTAAAATGACATGGAAACCATGTAGGATAACATATTACACATGGATATCCTACTTGTCATTTAAAAAAAATTAATGTAAAAACAATTTTTGAAAATGAAAAACCTTCATCCCTCTCATTGTTAGACCGTTCCTTCTCTTCCTCTTCTTGATGACTCTTCATTCACCCACAAACCCTCAATCCTGCAATCCCTCAATCGCACACATCGTGTTCCTCTTTGGCCTAATCGACTCTCACCATCTTCTTCCTGATCAAATCAAAACCCTAATCGACTCAATCTCATCGACTTCCTCATCGACTTCTTCATCGCGCATCCTGTTCCAACAGGTAAGTTCTATATGTAGAGTCCATTTGATATTTGAGAGTAGTTATCGATTGTTCAACTTCCAATAGAGAACATCCTACCTCCCTTTCTCTATGTATAAGTATTGTTTAGAAATGTGCCCTTTTTGTATTGAAAAACAATTCAATATCATGTGCACATTTTCACTTGGAGTTGTAAGTTCAGTTATCTCATGAGATATAAGTTGGTAGATAAAACCTTAACAAATTTCTCATTATTTTTTGTTGGCGTTGAGGACCACCCTTAACATAAATACTGGCTCCGCCCTTCCCCAAAACCTCTACTTGTATAATCGAGATTTGTTCGAAGTCATGAAGTCACCATTGGCATTCATTATTAACTTATCAACTGTTTGTAGGCAGGGATAGCCATATGATGGGAGCATGAAATATACAATTAAAAGTTGTTATAACTAGCTATACAAAAACCACGGGACCAATCCTAGTTACGATGTATGTATACATAACTTTACAGCAGTATAGAAGAATTAAGCGTTATTTTGCTTAAAAAGGTGATAATTCAAAACCGAAATGATTTTCATCACCTAAATGGGTGTATAATGGTCCTCAAGTGCCTGCAACTATAAAAAAAATTGGTAGAAATATTGAGCTATTCCAAAAGGATTTTCTCAATTTTTGATGGATCGAACAGTGAAAACATCGATTAGCCACACCCAGGATTAAGTTGGATCCTATGATGAAAACAATAGATGTTTATGAAAGGAACCTCAATCCCCTCAGCAGAGCAAGAAATTTTTAAAAAATTCTCCCAACCTCAATGCATTGAGGTGCTATGAAAAGTTTTCCCAATATAAAAGTATTCCAAAGGCTGCTCAGCATTGCTTATATGTCTATCCATTAAATAACAAAATTTTCCAAATTATCATCTCTTGAGTCGTCTTCTGAAAACTCTGTTACTTCTTTTACTTCAATTTATCACACAAGTAAATCATTCATGGGTCAATTTACTTTACATATTTCAACCAATTGTAGTTTAAATGACTCAACACAGAGGTTGTATTAAGTCGTATTTACTTTATATTTGCAAAGAAAAATAAAAGATGAGACATGACAGATAATGTTGATAGTGTTAATGTTTCTTTATCTTCAGGATGACATCTTCATCAATATCTTTTGAGGTACATTACACAGGTGTTTTTGTGTTTTGGCCACTTGAATATGCTAATGGGTTGAGAATTTTTTTTGAAACTTTTGACATTGGCAACATCGGATACATGGATTTTGTTGCTTTTTTGAAGAATGAAACACACACATTGTGTGAAAACATATATTTTTGTAAACCTGGTAAGGGCTTAGAAAATGGTTTAAGAAAACTTAAATGTGATGTGGATTTTAAGAGTTTTATTGAATATGAACTCAAAAGTAGGGAGATAATTGACGTGTATTTAGATGATTTTGCTGAAGACTTAACAGAGTATTTAAGACAAGATGGTAGTGATAGTGATAGTGACAGTTCATCTAGTGATGATGATGATGTTTCTGATGCTCCTTCTTTATATCATATATCCGAAGGAGAAGATGAAATAATTGAATTTAGACAAAAAATTGGGCATGGTTTAGTGACACGAGAATATATTGGAGAAGATCATGATAATGTGAGAGAAGAAGATTTGATGGCTTTTGAGCATGAAAAGTTTTTAAATGATCTTAATTGGGAGTTAAAAAGGGATAATATTGTTGAGACAAATATAAATAGTGATGATGAAGAGCATGACCTCGCACAATGGTTACTATCCAATGCATAATCCAAAAACACATTGGAAGATCATGAAACCTATACTAGGTGAGAGATATGAAAGCCCAACACAACTCAAAGAATGCATAACAAATTATGCATTAGCCAATGGTTACCAAATATGGTTCGAAAGGAATGACCACACTAAGCTATTAGCRAGATGTGGAAGGKWWGTTAGTGATGATCAACYGAAATRTCCTTGGAGATTATGGGCAACTTGGATGGCAAATGAGAGATCGTTCCAAGTGAAATCTCTTRTGGATGAGCATATGTGTGCAAGAAACTTTAAATTTGGTTCATTGATGAACTATAAGTTTATTGCTAAGWAGTTTGCCAGTCGATTGAGGGAAAATCCTGATATGAAGTTAGTAGACTTGCAATTTGCTGTGATGAAGAAATACAAGTGTCTAGTGAGCATCAACCAATGTGCTAGGGCTAGGACACATGCAATTAGTGAATTTGAGCAAGGCATGAAGAAACATTATGATAAACTTTGGGAGTACGGTGAAGAAATTAGAAGAACCAATCCTGGATCTACAGTAAAAATGAGTGTTGAAGTCAATCCCGATGGGAAGACTTACTTTCAAGGCTTCTATATATGTTTACAAGGATTGAAAGACGGTTGGATTAGTGGATGTAGAAGAGTAATTGGGCTTGATGGATGCTTTTTAAAGACAATATGCAAAGGAGAGTTGCTTTCAGCGGTTGGTCGAGATGCCAATAATCAAATATTCCCAATTGCCTGGGCAGTGGTGAATATTGAAAACAAAGAAAACTGGACGTGGTTTATTAACTTGTTGAAAGAAGACCTATCTTTGAATGATGGTGTTGGTACAACTTTGATTTCAGATCAACATAAGGTACATTTTGTTTTGTCGTTTCTACATCGTTTAAGTGTGTGTTTTTTTATGCCTCTTATAATTATTTTTAATCTTCAAAATAACTTTTTGTTTCTTAAGCAGGGGCTGATTGAGGCTGTCAAGGATGTGCTCCCGGTAGCTGAACACAGACAATGTGCTAGACACATTTATGCAAATTTTAGGAAGAAGTTTAGCGGTGTACAATTCAGAAACCTTTTCTGGGCAGCCTCTAAAGCGTCATATGAACAACAATTTGAAGAAGTGATGTCTGAAATCAAAGGTATTTACATTTTCGAAATTGTTTTTAAGTTGTTTTTTAAGCTTTATAAGCTGTTTGTTATTGTTTTAAGTTGTTAAAAATGTATTTAGGCTGTTAGAACTGTCCTTTTATGCTTTTCTTAACTGTTTTGATTTTTTCCCATGTGAAATCAAAGCGGCCAACCTTGATGCATATTTGTACCTTATGGAGAAAGCACCTCATACTTGGTCTCGTGCATTTTTTGAGACGCATAGAGCCTGTGATGCTGTCGAAAATGGCATTAGTGAGTGTTTTAACTCACTATTGGTAAATGCTAGAAGAAAGCCAATCATTACACTGCTTGAAGCTATTAGAGTAATAATGATTGAAAGAATGGATAAAATGAGAGAGAGATCTGGGAAATGGGTGGATGATATATATGCCCTGCTATTAGGAAAAAATTTGAGCACTTAAAGGAACAACAAAGGTATTATTTTGTCACTTATAAGCTTTAGTACTCATTGTTCATAAATTCACTAACTTTCCATTTCCATGTAGATTTTGGCATGTACTTCCATGTGGGGTGATCTTTTTGAGGTTAAAAGTGGGTTAGATGCTTTCATAGTTGATGTAGATGAAAGATCATGTACTTGTAGAATGTGGCAACTATCGGGTTTGCCATGTGCCCATGCTATGGCTGCGATCTTGTACGTAAACAAGATTCCAGAAAGTTATGTTCCAGATTGTTTCAGAAAAACCATGTTTATTCAGTCATACAATCATTATWTAAGACCTTTAAACGGAATCAAAATGTGRCCGAAAACCAATCATATCAGCCCCTTGCCGCCGTTGCCAAGAAGATTGCCTGGAAGGCCAAAACTTAAAAGAAGAAGGGATGCAGTGGAAAAATTATTGAMTTCAACMKGACAGATTGGAAGACAARGAAGAAGAATGACATGTACCAAATGTAATGAAGCAGGTCATAACAGTAGATCATGCAAGAATGAGAAAAAAGATGCACCATTGAAAGATGTCAGACCACCAGGAAGGCCTAGGACTAATATTCATAGCCAAAGCAATAAAGGGGGTGCACGAGGCGGAACGGGTTCACAAAGGGATGTTAGAAAGGTAATGTAAAATCTTCGAGTTTCATACTAATTTTATAGATCAATTGCATACTAATTTGTTCACTAATTTGAACAGGAACCATCTAAAGTGGAATCACGACCAAAGCTCATCCCGAAAAAAGGGAGGCCAAGTGAAAGGATAATTTTGAACAATCTACGAAAAAATACCGTTGAGAAAGATAGAGAAGGTAGTAGTTGTGACAAGGCGGTTCCACTTGATTAAATAACATTGTTAGACGAATGTGAATAGGATGTTTTTTTTGTTGAAAATATGTCTACTTGTTTAGGTTTTGGTATTACAAAGTAAGCCATGAAATTTATGATAAACTCGATGAATGAATGGTTTTTTTTTTGGATATTTTTATTCGTGAAATAGTGATCTTTTATAAACATGTTTAATTTATTATATTATATTTTTTGCGCATTTTGCCATTAAATTTACAATGTTTAAATGATAAAAATATTAAAATTAAAAGTATAATGTTGTAATAGAAATTGGTGATCTTATAATAAAATAATTTTGAAAGTACAATGCTGTAATAAAAAATGCCATGTCAGCACTATCGTACAAGTGTACAGCCTACATGGACGATGAGATGGCAAAGAAACCTGGTATAATAGGTAAATTTAATTTAAAAGGTTACCCAATGCTATAATGGGTAAATTTTTGAAAGTACAATGCCCTAATAAAAAATATTTTGAAAGTACATTGCTGTAATAAAAAAAACTGAAAGTAGAATGCTATAATAAGGAAATTTGTGAAAGTAGGTTGCTATTTTGTGCATTTTGCCCTTTTAAAAAAATCAAAAACACAAAAACAAAAGATTTTAACAAAAAAATTGGATCAAACACAATTTTTTTAAAAAAAAATTAGAACACCAAAAAAATTTCAAAACTACAAAAAAATTCACTAAAACTTGAAAAACAAAGATAAAAACGCAAATCTTTGTGTATAACAAAGATTCATGAAGCTAAAACACACACAACGATCACAAATTTAACACACAAACACAAGATTTTGAAAAAAAATAGATCAAACTCTAAAAAAAATAAGAACACAGAGAACACAAAAAAATCCATAAAATTTCTTCACAAAACCTTCAAAATATGATGATTTATTCTCTTGATTTCGTGCATAATCAGCTCTGATACCAATTGTTAGGTCACTATGATCAATCTTCAATAATACTCTACACATTCATGGCAATCTTCAAGAACAATAGAAGAAGATTTGAGAGAGTTGAGAGAGAATGTCAAAGCTTCAAAGATTGGTCAAACTCTATATTACGTAAACTGAATTTTACAATTAGGCTCATACAAAATTTACAAAAGACTAACCCTTTATATAGGGTCAAACTAGAAAGCCACTAGTCAAAGTCAAACTTACAAGGAAAGTCAAAAACGATGACTTTTATAATTATAGACAAAATTAACTTTCAAAACGAATACAATTTAACACTGATTTTCAGTCCTAACAAATTGTTTTCAAAAAGAGTTGGTTTGGTAATTACAGTATAACACAACCATATCTAATATCAAAGGACCCATACTGAAATGGGTACCTAAAACCAATTGATTCATTGTGCAAGTTAACCGGCATGTGTGGTTCTTAGATTCTAGATGCTCAAAAACACATGACTTGTAGGAAAGAATTACTTTATAAGTTTATTAAATCTTTTGGTGGTAATCTCAGGTTTGGGAACGATTAGTATTCACCTATCCTTGGATACGGTGTTTTATTCATGGTAATTTAATGATTAAGAAAATCTCGTATGTCGAAGGACTTGGTCATAATCTTTTCAGTATAGATCAATTTCGTGATAAATATATGGAGGTTTGTTTTAAATCTAAACGGTGCAGCGTCCGTACTTTTGATGGTAAGGAAATTCTAGCCGGGACCAAAAAATCAAATCTTTATACAATTGACTTATCTAATCTACAAGTAGATACTGATGTCTGTTGTAAAAACCCTCATATTCCATATACACATAATTCACATCATCATACTCATAAAACTAAAACAGTATTATTACAAAACATGGACTAACAAAAATATATCTTTAATACATATATGAACAAACTATTATCATCATTTATACTTTTCCTTTGCCCTTATCTT